ATTTATTTATTTATTTATTTATTTATTTATTTATTTATTTATTTATTTATTTATTTATTTATTTATTTTAGTTTTTATACGCCTTTGCTGCTGCTGCTACTTGCTGCTGTTGCATGTTGCTGCTACTTGCTGCTGCTGCTGCTGCTGCTGCTACTATTTGCTGCTGCTGCTACTTGAATAATAATACTAATAATAAATAAATAAATAAATAAATAAATAAATAAATAAATAAATAAATAAGTAATAATTATATATTGCCAATTAAGTCAATAAAAAAAGAAAAAAAAAGAAAAAAAGAAAAAAAGAAAAAAAAAGAAACAAGAGACAAAAAAAAGGATTAACAACAAGAAGGTATATATTTGTCTCCTTTTTTGTCTCTTTTTTCTTTTTTTCTTTTCTTTTTTCTCCTTATTTATTTATTTACTCTTTTTTCTTCCCTTTTATTTTTCTTTCTTTTTTTTTTCTTTTCTTTTCCTTGTTTCTTTCTCCTTATTTGTTTCCTTCCTCTTGTGTCTCCTTCCTCTTGTGTCTCCTTTGTCTCCTTCCTCTTGTGTCTCCTTCCTCCTGTGTCTCCTTCCTCCTGTGTCTCCTTCCTCTTGTGTCTCCTTCCTCTTGTGTCTCCTTATTATTGTGTGGCTCTTTCTTCTAAGGGACAATGTCTATTAATTAATTAATTAAATTAATTAATTAATTAAATTAATTAATTAATTAATTAATTAATTAATTAATTAATTAATTAAATAAATAAATAAATAAATATAAGGAATTAAATCCTCCTAATAGGATCAATCCATAGCCTAGATGTCTCCTTTTTGTCTTTTTTTTCTTCCTTTTTTTCCTGCATTTTTTCCTGATTATTCTCCTTATTATTATTATTATTATTATTAATATTATTAATATAATTATAATAATTATATTTATTATATAGATGCATAGGATCCCATGGTCTTTTTCTTCTTCTTCTTGGTGGTGGATTAGGTGTAGGTGCTGGGATCGGTTGGGGATCGGTTGGGGGTCGAGGGTTAGGTTGTGGTGTAGGGGAAGGAGGAGAAGGAGGAGGAGGAGGAGGAGGAGGAGAAGGAGGAGGAGGAGAAGGAGGTAATATAGGTCTCCTTCTTCTTCTTGGGGGTAAGAGAGGATCCCTTATTGGATCTGTTAGTGTAGGGGGACCAGGTATAGCAGAAAAAGTAGTTATTAATTGTGTACTAGTACTAGTAACTATAGGGGGTGGGTATGGTGTTACTGGTGGTGGGGTTGTTGGTGGGTATGGTGTTGGTGGTGTTACTGGTGGTGGGGTTGTTGGTGGATAAGGAGGAGGATAAGGATAAGGAGGAGGATAAGGATAAGGAGGAGGATAAATAGGAGTAGGAGGATAAGGAGGAGGAGGATAAGGAGGAGGATAAGGAGGAGGAGGAGAGGAGGAAGAGGAAGAGGAGGAAGAGGAGTGTGTTACTGATGGTGGGGTTGTTGTTGTTGTATTTTTTTGTGCAGAATATTCAAGAAATTTAATTCGTGTATCTATTTCTATTATTATACGAAATATACCCAATAAATATGAATAAGATAAGGAAGAAGAAGGAGAAGGAGAAGGGAATAAGGGAGGAGGAGAAGGAGGAGGAGGAGGAGGCAGGGAGGGAGAAGGGAGGGAGGGAGAAGGGAGGGAGGGAGGAAGAGAGGGAGAAGAAAAAGAAAAAGAATCAGAAAAAGAAGAAGAAGGAGGAGGAGGAGGAGAGGAAGAAGAAGAAGAAGAAGAAGGAGGAGGAGAGGGAGGAGAGGGAGGAGAGGGAGGAGAAGGAGAAGGAGAAGGAGGAGGAGAAGGAGGATAAGGAGGATAAGGAGGATAAGGAGAAGGAGGAGAAGGATAAGGAGGAGAAGAAAAAGGATAAGAAAGAGAAGAAAAAGATTCATTAATTAATTCATCTAATAAATATAATAAGGAAGAAGGAGAAGAACCTAATATATGTAGGGAGGAACAAGCTAATCTATGACCTAATAAAGGAACAAAACAACAAATAAATAAATATTTATTTATTTATTTATTTATTTATTTATTTATTTATTTATTTATTTATTTATTTATTTATTTTATTTCCTTATTTTTTATGTATTTATATATGTATATATGTATATATATGTAAATACATAAATATACAAATAAATAGAGAAAAAAGAATAATAAAATAAATAAATAAATAAATAAATAAATAAATAAATAAATAAATAAATAAATATAAATTAATTAATTAATTAATTAATTAATTATAATTACCTGTAGGTTTATTAGCAATAAGAATAGGCATATAAATAAATACATAAATACATGAATAAAAAGAGGAAAAAGAAGCAAATAAATAAATAAATAAATAAATAAATAAATAAATAAATAAATAAATAAATAAATAAATAAATATATTTACCTGTAGCTTTATTAGCAATAAGTATAGGTAGATTTAATTCCCCTAATATACATGTATTATAAGGAAATAAATCATAATAAATAAGACGTAGATCTATAAAAAAAGAAGAAGAAGAAATATTTATTCCTTCCCCGTACTTTCCTGTTATATCCCCTATATTACATAAATAAGGATTATTTATATAATTATTAGGTGTACAATTATATTCTGCTCCTTCTCTACGTTTATTTGTTGCTGAACTGTATACAAACAAACAAACAAAATAACCTACATATACATATACTTATAATATATAT